TCTCCTACACCGATAAGGTCATCGCCTTGGCCGCACTTGACTGTTCTATCCATTTACAACACAAACAGGATAGGAGACAGTACGCAGCCTTTGCGGGAACCAATGCAAACGCTGTAAGTTTTGGACTTAATGTCATTTACTCTGGCTCAGCACCTGCTATCACCATATAGTAATTGGATGGCATGGATCACATATTCTCAGGCATGCCGATCGACTGCTGTTTGCAATCCGGTCATAGGCTTCCCTAGGTCAACAAAGCACATGTACATCGGATGAGCGAATTACCACGATTTCTCAACAACCTGGCATAGGGCAAATGTCTGATTATATGTGCTTCGTCTGGTCTGGAAGCCACGCTGCACTTCTTGTTTCTTGGAGTAAGTTATTACGCGGCACCCCCTTTCTATCATCTTTGCGTAGACTTTTCCCGGGAGGCTCACTAAAGTAATGCCCCGATATTGGTAGCACTCACTGTGGTTTCCCCTTCTTGTGCAATCCCCATTTCGCTCTTGTCTTCCTCGCAGTCATTGCAATTTGACAGACATGTATAGGCCAGCATGCCTTTTTCGCCTATTGCTTTGACCATTTCAGGACTGATTTCATCAATTCCAGCGGCCTTTCCATTTTTCAAGCTTTTCATAGCTGTTGTAATTTCAGAGACAGTAGTTTCCGCTCCCTGCTGCTCTAAAGGCTAGTCTTCCTGCGGTTGCTTGCGGTTAAGGAGTTCGTCAGAGTACTCTTTCCATTGCTGAAGAATATTCTCTTCCTTGGTAGTGGAATATCCAGGCCAGCCCTTCAAGATCTTAACCTGTCTTTTTTTGTTATAGCCGGCGGATAGTGTGCTAAAATACCTTGTTTGCCAGTGGAAATTCGATTCCAACACCTCAGCGAACCTCTCCCAGGAATCAGCGTTGGCTTTCGCTACTGTCATGCGTGCTTCGTCATATCGTAAGCGAGTAGAAGGCTGTTTTCAAGCCATTTCTGGAATGCAGCGTTCTCTTTAACTGCCAGTTATACCTCATATCCCCAAGGAAGTTCGTTTCTGAGCTCCAAGCAGTGGGCCAACCCGACCCGTTTTAAGCAACAGCATTCAACGGCAGCCTCGAGTATGCTGCTCTTCAAGAGTTTCCATTCGGTTTCCGCAGCAGTGGCTATCACCGAAGTCTCTTCGAACCGTCATGTGATGTAGATTGCAGGTTTTTGCTGTTCTATCCTCCGAACTTAATGTTTTTCATTTTATTTTCCGATTGTTTCTGTCACCACATCATCGCATTGTTCTCCACTTCTGACAGCGTAGCGAGCCAACAATAAGGTGGTGATGACAGCTGTGCTTCTCATTTAACACGAACATCCATTTTGTAGTTTCGTAAGTCAGACGATACGATAATCATATCGGTCATCCATTTCCGTACACAAGCATCCCTGTGCCAGGTATGCTGATGCTAGCTGGATGCTCGAAGAAGTTGTTCCGTTGTTTGCACAGGACCGCAGCAACTTTATGCCATTATTGTTGAGGATGCTAGGGCTGCTCTTTCTAGTCATGCCTTTCCACTTTTCAGCGTCTACTCCGACATGCGCATTAAAATCGCCCATTGGTATGAGGAACTCTGTATTCGGCACTTCGTGCAGAGCCCACTGCATTTCCTGAAGGAAGGAATCATATTCTTTTAAATTGGGCGCATAGACCTGTAAGAAGGTCAAAAGTTTTAGCATACTGTAGCTTCAGTCTGAGAATTGCCACCCTTCCGCTGACAGGCTTCCAATCAATGATTCTATCGGCGATGTGGAGTTCTACCAGAACACCAACCCCTGCTTGAACGCGAGCCGCATGTCGACACCTGATCAGAATAACTTCTATCCACAAAGGTTCAGAATTCAAAAGCTTTGGTGCTTCGTTGACGAGAGTCCACCTATGTCGCATTGGTGCTTTGCGGTCACATCAACCGGCTGCTGCTCTTTCTCTCTGAATGAGGAGATGTTCCAGTTTCCGGGAGTATGCTCCCACTGGCGGTGTCGTTCCCATAGATTCTTTCGTACGTATTATCGTAGCATCTCACTGTCTGCGTTCTCAGTTCAGAACGAGTAGCAACTTTGTTGCTGATTGGTGGCTTCGTCGTCGTTTCGTCGGTCTTGGTCAGCCGTTGTCGTACTACTACGACCCCTAGAAGGTGTTGAGCAAGTTCTTGTCGCCGATTTTCCGTAGCCCGCCTCAGCCCCATTTAACAGCCTGAGCGGTCTTTGGTAACCCCGGTAACAATCGAGCCGGAATAATATTCGATGACGGCAATACCATGAGGGTCAGGTGGCTTAGTTTTACGGAGACTTTTTCACGGTTTCTAGCCTTCCTCTCTTCTCATCCGGATTTGAGACCGAAACGGCGAAATTCTGGATATGCAATTGAGAAATAAATACATAAGTAGTTAACATATAGCTTAGTACGTTAATTTGCATGTAGTAAGTTTGAGGCGGCTTTCAGTGGATCGTCCAACCGTTACTTTAGTTGTCTACGTCACCTTCAAACTGTACCGTTGGACCAGCACCTCTGCATATTCGCGGAAAGCGGATAAGTTTTCATCAGATGTCATCTTTTATCGTTTAAAGCGATGGCCGTAACTGTCTCACTTTATGCCGCAACGTCTTTTCGAGCGTTTTTCGTAACGCTGCACCTTTAAAATTCAGCGCATCTCAGGGGCACGTGGCAGTCGAACTATCAGTTTTCTGTTTGAGTGGCATTCATATTTTCCACCATGACTTCGTTCTGCCAGTTCTGAAACACTGCCTGGTGAAACTTGTAACTGTTTGCTCTGACTTCATTGCATACATATAAGCAAGCATGTTAGTATGTAAGTGCATAAGTAGTGAGCTGGGTAAATAGTTAGAAACAAGTATGTTTATATATTACTGTTAAATGTGCTCGGTTATCCACATTTGTATGCACTGAAATATTCGGCTCAAACTGAATTGTTGTTTAAACCAGAATTTTGTGATTTTCATCAAATTACTCCATTTTTTAAGCTTTAATCTATAGCTGCAAGACAGGCTTAACGGTGATTTAGCAAAATGAAATATTTCCGGTTGGGCCAAACAGTGATTCAGTGTCACTTCATACCGGTGTGAACTGACCTGAACCATTTAATTAATTTTGTTCTATACTGATATGAGTTTAATTTGAAATCCGATCAAATATGCATGAAAGTATGCAGTTTATAAATTAATTATATAATCCAGCGAAACGATTGAAGCACAGTTTCGGACGACTAAAAGTTTCCATGAATTGGTGATCGTGTTTCAGTAACGCAGAAAAAAGAATGTTCATGCGGTCAATAACATATTCCACTAGTCTGTATCCACTGAATATGACCGTAATCATTGTCGATGTTATTCAGAGTGTCAGTCCCTAAATTCAGTCCATATGCTTTTCTTTGAATTTCTGACCTTGGAATTGTCATATCGATTCTCGTTGATGGTATTATTTCTGTAGTAAATCGACCGACACCTCAAAATATAGGAAATCACAGATTTTTCAGATATTTATTAAAAAAGGTGCACATTTCTCATTGATAGCGGTTCGAAATTTTCGGCATGGATTCTTCCCTCATAGCTTTTTAGACAGCGGAGCATTTCTGGAATGCTAAATATTGTCCTTTTGAATTTTTGCACCTTTGTAATATTTCCTAATCGTTTATGCAATTATCTGTAGCGTATACAATGGCCAAGTACGGGATGTCGATGTGTGTACTCGGAATGTCTGAAGAGCTGAAGCCGTTCAACATCGCAGTCAATGCACTCTGGCCGAAAACAGGTTCCCCGTTTTTTTTCATATGCTTAGATGTTTATAGCCTCGTTTTGCAGCGATCTGGACAGCCGCCATGGAAATGTTAGTTGGAGGAAAAGATATGTCGCACAAATGTCGAAAGCCAGAAATAGTAGCCGAAGCAGCGTACGTTATCCTCAATAAAGACGCGAGAAACTTCACCGGAAACTTTTACATCGACGAAGAGGTGCTGAAAGAAGCTGGTATTGAAAACTTTGACCGCTTCGCTTTCAAACCTGGTACGCGTTTTTGTCATGACGCGTTGTTCCTATAAAGTGCATTTTATCCCAATACGCTTAAGTTCGTTAACAACATTGTAGGCGCTAAATTCCCAAATTGGTTGCTTATATTTTAAAATGTATAAAATTTACTGTGTAAACATCATTGTAATCACTTTCTGTACTTAGAGATGATAGATTTCTCTGCCAAAGCAAAGGATCATCTCGGATAAGCCATTTTTTCATCCTTTCAAAATATTTTTAAAAGCAATGCAATTCGGCACTAGCCGAACTTGAAGTTTTGCTAGTTTCTGAAAGAAATATGGAGAGTATTTTGACCTTGTTTCGCAGGGGAAACTCTTTACCTCTTCAACAGTTTTTTCTCGCAGAAACAATGATTTCATCATTAGAAGAAACAAACTCTGTTCCGTATATTGACGTTTTTTGTAATTATTTCTTAGTGCCTAGGAAATGTAGAATATGCCGGGCTAATGTTAATTTCTGTGAAACTGATTTCAGTTCTGTATCTTCATTAATAAATTGCCAATTCAGTGGTTATGAATTAGAAGAGAAAAGAGAGATGGTAAATTTTTAAAATGGAAGATGATGTACGTAGTGCTGTGGATCATATATGGCTGATTCATTTCTTTAGCGGTACTTCATGTATAATAGATTTGATTAAAAAAGAACCAAAGCTTTTAGTCAACTATACTCATTTCAAAGGCAACAGTGTCAAGTAAAGCGTACATCGCAAGTCATCTCGTTGCTGTACCTCTCGTGTCCACCAGAAACATCATTTCTGATCTCCAGGCAGCAGGCCAACACTTTCAAACCCGCAGAATTCGGCCACAGCCTCGAGTATGCCGCTCTTAAAGAGCTGCCATTCGTTTCCCGCATTAGTGGTCCTTACCGGC